CGAGGAGGGAATTTTGGAATTTTTCAGTCTACTTTCATTTTCGCACCAAACAACCCATATATATATACCTGCAAGGGTTAGTTACAACAAATTTAAAAGAAAATGGAAACAGATAATATGATTACAGAAATCAAAGAAAGAGACAAAATAATCTAGAGTGCCTACTGCTACATGAAAAAATAACGGAAAGATGCTATAACAAATATAGCATAGCAAACATGCATCAGGAAATAATAATGCTCGAGCTCTATTTTAGAACTGGTTGCTACATGATGACACGTACACTCCTTGCACGGGCTTGAATTTTTCTGTTTGCTACTTTTAAGAGAATTGTCTCTATTTCCTCACTGCTAAGTTTGATAGAGCTAGGTTGATCGACCTGCATGCAGCTCATCCTATTTAGGTGAACTTCTTAACTCAAATGGTTTCAATGTCGACCTTATCATCCTTGTGCCAAAGGAAGGTGATAGTTTTATTGGCTGGAAGAAAAGACTAATGATATGCAGTCCTTACGGATTATTTGTAAAATGCATGTATCAAAAATAAACGTCTACTAATAAAGTTGAGTGTATTGATAAGCTATCTAGACAAGATTAAATTTTTGAAGTGCCTCCTAGTTAGATTTCTAAACTTCAATTACTGATGAACAATGAACTTTGCGCGCTATAGAAACAGAGAAGCTCATACAAAGTGTTTCCCTTATGAGAATTTTATATTGTCCATAAGTAATTTTAATTTATCGAAAAAAAAATTCATTTTCATATTGCACATCAAAACTATCCGACATAATTCACCAAATTGTTTTTTTTCAAACATGCCTAAAGTGAAACAAGCGAAACATCGTTGGTCGTTTTGGATCCAAATCCAAATTCAGAAAGAGAAAGCTGGTTTTGGTCAGAATAGAAAACAATGTGAAGGTCTTCCGTTACGATGAGAAAGGGAATTTTGAGAAAGAGATGAGCGTGTGACCTAGGGTGCGCATGACAACATTCCCGGAATCAATTCTTTTTTAATTTCTGTTCCCGGGAACAGAAATGGATAGGAAACTCGTTTGATAAAACCAGTTTATTTTTTTGTTCCCGGGATGAACCAGTTAAGTTTTTGTGCTGGAGAGCAGAAAAAAGAATAAAAAAATTTCTGTTTTTTTGTTCCCGGGCTCAAAATGAGAAACACTTATCTCTCTCAATCACTCTCCACCTCTACCATCATCACCACCGCCACCATCATCCCGACACGACTGTCGCCACCATTGCCGCCGCTGCCATCGTACCACTAGTACCGCCGTCACCACCCCTCACCGCCACCATTACCACCACCTCCACCCATCACTACCACCATGCCACCACAACTACCATCGCCGCCACCGCCACCACCACTATCACCGCTATCAACCACCACCACCATCATCGCAACCATTGCCACCATCGCCATCACACGCCAGTGCCACCACCCTCATCGCCATCACTACCGCCACCACTACCATCACCACCACTACCATTGCCGCAACCACTACCGTCTTCACCACCATCGTCGCCGCCACCAACCACCACCACCATCGTCACAACCATTATCGTCATCACCACCACCATCACCACCATTACACCAACGCCACCACTACCATCACCAAGCCACCGCCACCATCACCACCACCACCACTGTCACCTACCACCACCGCCGCAGCCACTGCCACCACCACCACTATGATGCCTTCACAACCACCACCGCCACGTCACTGCTACCATTATTGCCGCCACCAACCACCATACCCACCACCATTGTCGCTGCCACTGGCGTCACCTCCACAACCACCATCTCCACCACTACCACCGCCGCTACCACCATTATCATCGCCATTGTCGCAACCACTGTCGTCACAACCACCACCACTATCTTCACAACGTCACTGCCACCACCACTACAGTATCGCCGCCGCCATCACCACCACAACCACACCATATAGAAATGAAAGAGTTGATCCGAATTTTTTTTATATTTAATAGGAATTATTTTTTATTATATTATTTGTTGTGTTATCAAACACAATTCTCATTCTCGGAATAAAAATAGAACATGTTATCAAACACATTTTTTTTCTCAGAAACTGTTCCAAAGCACAGAAATAGAAAAGAATTATTTCTTTTCAGAAACAATGCTCGGAAATATAATGGTTGTCATTCACACCCTAGAGAGAGAGAAAGGGGTGAGTGATTGAGGAAAAAATTGGGATTATAAGGGATAAATATGAGCCATTAGATTAAAAGTTAATCTAATGGTTATAATTTAGTAGTAAAAGTAGTAAACGTAAGAGGTAGTAAGTATAACCCCTCCCTTATCTTAGAATGACAAAGATCCCTTAAGACAAAATCATCATAATCTATCTTTTCTCGTTGCCTATATCTATTACAGCAAGATATGGAAGGTGAGATGTAAAATAAAATATTCAGGAAAAAAATGAGAACTTTCCATTTTATTAAGATAGCATAAAAGTTATCACATAATAGAAAGGCAAAGATTTCCCTCCGAACAAAATCCCTAGAATCTCCCTTTTCTATTGGCCTTCCTTACTTCCTTGGCTTGCTATTCTCCGTCCATTGAAGCAAACAAGGTTCCCGCGATATCAGCCAGCTTTCTCCCGTTCAACCTTGACTTGTTGTATTTCCTCAATGGTGCATTTGGAGTTTCAAATAGAATAGGAAAAGCCAAAATTTTCTTCTTCGGTGTTAAATAGTCAAAATGCTGCTTCGCAATCAGAGTCTGCAATAGGCAAAACCCAAAAATTAATAATTAGATTAATCAGTTGAAACACTAGTTAACCAAACTGAACAATGCTCCTGCATTAATACGTACTGCTTTTCTAATCGTTTTGGAGACATGAAAAAGCTGCTTCAAATCTTCATGGTCCACACCACACAACACCTTTATCTGCCATTCAGAATACATACCCATTTCACAATCAGAAATGAAAACTCATTAACAATCACAATGTAAGCTTGAAATTCACAAAGTAAAAGAAAGACAAAAAAAAAAAACTTCAGATTTCCATAATTACCAGAATGTCTTAAGGAAGAGTTTCGAGGGAAGAGCTTTCAGAGTTCAGAGTGATTTTGCCACTGACATTCTCTTCAACGGAGTCAATGGAGGAGAAGCTTCCCCATTGTTGTAAACCACAATCCTTTTCCTTCCCAGTGTCCCAGTGTAACCATTATCCACAAGCACTAATGCCATTTTGGTAAGTGAAAACTTACCCACTCAAGAATCTAGGAGAAATAAAGGAATAAAAGAAAAAAAAATTCTGTGCAGCGAGAGTATCATGGGGATAAACCATTAAATTATCGTACCTTCCATGTCTTTTACTGTATAAGATTATGATAATATAATCAATTTATATTCTATATATATATATATATATATATTATTAAATAATTAATAAAATTTCCTTGAGTCAGTTGATGATCTTATCAACTATTAATTATTGATATTATTATTAAGGGGACAGTTATACTTACCACCCTTACAACCAAGGTCATCACCCTTAGATTAGAATTAAATCTAACGGTTCATAATTTTCTCATATAACCCTAATTTTTACTCTCTCATCCTCTTCTCTCTGTCTCTCTCTAGGTTTGAGATCTACACATCCCTCTCTCTTTCTAGATTGGAGAATCAACTCTCTCATCCTCTTCTTATTGTTATAGTGCTTTGATTTTTAATTCCAGCAAAAATATTTGAGCAAGACGAATAATCGGTTAATTCTTTCCATTATTATAGAATAGATTTATGAAATCGCAAGATGAAAAAATTATGTATGCTTTCCTATTACTGATTACTGAGTAAATGCAAGATAAATAATTTATTTACGTGTAAGTACCGTAGGAATGGCGAGAAATCTTACGATATTGTAAATGTACCAGAACCAAAACAAATTGTCCCAGATAAAAAAAATTAGCACCAAATTTTTCCAAACATTTACAGTACAAAAAATTGAATAACGTGTATAGCAAAATAAATCTTCATCGTTACTGCACTTGATGACCCAAATAATCAATTCGGTAAATAGCCAAATAGGCTTTATAGCAATTCAAATGTTGGGTGCTGTCCGTGAGATTCGTAATTTCAATCCATTGTTTTATTTTTGTTTTTACGAGGTTTAAAATTCATTTTTTTTTCTTTTTTTTTTCTTTTATCTAAGATTCGAGAGAGATAAACACAGATTGAGTTGCATTGTGTTCGTCGTTCCCGAGATTTATGTGATTTCAAAGAGCGACCAAGAGTGAAGAGAAGAATTTGGAGTTGTGTTCGTCGTTCCTGAGATTTATGTGATTCCAAAGAGTGACCAGGAGTGAAAAAAAGAATTTGGAGAGAGAAGCCTGTAGATTTCAAACCTAGAGAGAGACAGAGAGGGGATGGGAGAAATTAGGATTATAAGGGATAATTATGAACCGTTGGATTTAATTCTAATCTAACGGTGATAACCTTGGTTGTAAGGGTGGTAAACTTACCTGGTGGTAAATATAACCGTCCCCTATTAGGGTTAAAGGCAAAAATTCCTTTGAAATGTATCATGGACAATATATAATATTAGCTATCAAATTTTAAAAGACACCAAATTTTTATTAACTTACATTAATTTTATCATGGGGAAAAAATATTTTGTGCAGCGATACCATTAATCTCTCATAAATAACAAAATTAATTATTGATATTATTATTAAAGGCAAATATTCCTTTGAAATGTATCATGGACAATATATAATATTAGCTATCAAATTTTAAAAGACACATTTTTATTAACTTACATTAATTTTATCATGGGGGAAAAATATTCTGTGCAACGAGACCATTAATCTCTCATAAATAACAAAATTAATAGTCTGATCTCTAATTTAAAATGGATCTTTTTTAATTTTTTTGAGGGGTGGATTTATTTGTTAATTAAGTTCATGTATATTGGACCTAGTGAGGATTTATTTACATTATTCTTTTTATCTAGGTTAATAATGTACGTTTTTGAATATCTGTTTAATTTAACAGTTTTTTACCTGATAAAGTGATGATGCTTCTTTTGTTTTCATTTGATTCAATAATATTACATGATGCCTTCACTACAAAAAACGCACTCTTTAGCCACATTCAAAAATAAGATAAATCTAAATATTTATTTTAGACACTGCCCATCAGCTCCAAGTCATAACCAAAGCAATCATTTGACACCCCCAATGAATTGAAACCAAGAACAGTGATCAGTTTAAAACCATCAAATCAAGGACATATATATCTTCCATTACCTGCTGTAAACTAACTACACTAAACTTTATCTTAACCTCGATTGATATCACTAACTGTTTAAAGATTTATTTTATATTTGGAACCAGTTGGCAAGGTGTATCTTTCTATATCCATCCAATAAATCTAAATATTTGACTGAATGTCCACATGCACGCATCATATTTTATCTCATTTGCTTAAAATTAAAACCACTATATGCAGTGTACTAACTTTTCGAAGAGTTGTTCATAGTAATATAATGCGCGTTAGAATTAGATTCATGATTAATACGAAAGTTTCCAATAATTCAAATCCCAAATCAAAATCAAATCAATCGACAAGAAGAAAGATAGCATCTAGCCTAGCTCAAGCAAAATCAAAAGATAATTCATGAATCGAACATATTTGAAATAGTAACAATAACATCACAGCTGGAAAAGTATAATATAATTAATATAAATATATAAGCATATGTATTTAAAATAGGCACAAAATGGCATCACATGTTAATCACAGAGTAGAAATTGAAATCGGTATCCCTTACTTATTACCAAAACAGGAAAAATCTGTGAAATTTTTTTAAGTAGCAGTCAATCTCTATCAGGGTGGTTGTTGGGAATAGAAGCAAATCCACAAACAGAGGCAAAGTAATGACAAATAGACAAAATGTATGGTATTGGTGACGCTCAGAAGTGGAAGAGGGAGCCTATAAAAATCTATTATTCATCTTATTTATTATCTTTTTACTTTTCTATTTTGATTGAGTATTGAAGTATATATATTTATTTAGATTATGCAACTAACATTAATTGCTAAAATAGCCTCATTGTAAATCCACATAGAATGAAAGCAGTTATCAAAACCATCTTGATTGATATTGCAATTTATATTCTGAGAAAGTTTATTATATTAACTGCTCCTGGGACTCATTAAGTTCATTACCCTTAAAGAGTTATCGTAAGCAATAATTAAAATAACACTACAGCATTAATAATTGGATTAGAACTTACACTCCAGATATAGATCAATAGCACGGGCCAAATGCTTTACACCAGGCACTCCTTCAAGAAGAGAAACAATGGGTGTAAAGTTCATGTTAATGATATCTGGCGCCAATTTTACAGTTTCCACCCATTTAGTATGACTTTGTTCAAGATCATCCCCACCTCTCCTCCTAAAAATGACAGTAACATCCTGCAGCAACAAAATGAAAGGTCACTTCACTGAGATTCCTTTAGTCTATGTATTGAATCACTGACTGAACCATTTTCAATGAGATAGAGTGCAATAGCAATAAACATATGCAAAAGGCTAAGCCAGATGTATTTTCATAACATAAAGGAAGTTGCTAAATAATCAGAAGCAGAAAAAGTTATCTGTTACTAAGAAATAGCGGGGAAAAGGAATTCCTCAATACTAACCTTCTCCTTGTACTTTTCATCTCCTTGAGATAAGATGGCATTGAAATAAAGTGAGCAAGGTCACAGTTCCCAAGTCTTAAAACTATTGGCTTCTCATTTTTTTTTTTGTCTTTTTTATTTAGCTTCTTGTATAAATGTTTGGGACATGGCATTCCGATAAATAAGCATGAACAGTGTGACAAAATAGTCTTGACAATAGAAGAAGAAATGAATTCACCCAGTTTCAAGCTTGAATGGAAGGTCACCATTATAGCCCGGTAGGTTCTTCACAATAGAACCCGCAGAAGCCATAAGTGGCAGAAGCATTACAGCAACTAAGACCACACAGCTACATCTCCAACTCCAAGCCATGGCCCTAAACAGCAACACAAGAACTTTCAACACTAGCCCAACACAAATGGCTTCCACTGGGGTTACCAATCAATTTCCCTCTTCTCTCTCTCTCTCTTATCTAATATGCTAAGAATTTCAAATAAAATAAAAAAGTAGAAATTTATAATAAAAATGAGTGACGAATGAACACTTACCAGTTAGGGATTCTGAATATTTTGTTAGAAATCGAGAAGGTTAGTGACTGATCAACATGAGAAAATTTTAAAATAGGCATTTTGGTCATTTTTTTCCTTTCCATCTTTCCAGCAATCAGATAAAGAAAGTATAAAAATCTATAAAACAGGCATACCTTTGCTTTCAATCACCTGTGTTGTTGATTTGAATCTGAGATCCTAGAGATCGGTGATAAATCCATAGAATCTTCAAAAACGAAAGTAAATGCTGCATTCAAGCTCTGGTTTGTGATTCGGCGATAGAGAAGAAAATCAACAAGAGAAATTGAATCTGCAAAAAGAAAAGGAAAAAAGAAACAATTAGAAATTAGGTTTTACTAATTATGTGTTGCCTTGTTCGACTTTTTGGATGAAAAATCCTTGAATCTTTCATTGCGATTCTCTGCGGAGTCGAGCAAAGACACATTGGCTCATATACCTCCACGGGCATAGAAGGATCAGAGAAGGAAAATGAGGCGTATTTTGGAGAAAGGAACGAAGAAAGGCGTAGAAGAGAAGAGAAACAATATAAATAAAAAAGAAAAAAAAGAAATGAGAACCAAAATAAGCGAGAATAAGAAAACATTTACCGTGATAATTGATTAACAGAGTTATTTTGCCACATTAAGTGCGTAGTAAAAATTGGTTTTACGACATTAAATTAATAGGAAAAGTATTTATCTTTTTAAAGGATATAAGCTTATATCATTTTAGATCCTAACTGTTAATTTTCGTCCATCAACGGTTATAATCTATTGGGTCAAAGTTAGTGGGCCAAAATTATTATAATTAATTAATAATTTTGATCCAATAAATTATAACTGTTGATGGACGGAAATCAACGGTTAGAATCTAAAATGATATAAACTTATATCCTTTAAAATGATATATGTTATTCTGTAAATTTAAATGTGGTTAAGATAATGTCCCTAGACTCTGCCTTTTTTGTAGTGCTTATATATAATGTCCCTAGACTCTGCCTTTTTTGTAGTGCTTATATTTGATATTATGCATATCGATTTTTTAATTTAATATATATAATAGGCATAATTTAAAAAAAAATATTGAAGATTTTTATTTCAACAAAATTAATATATTTTTGGACATACTCATTAATAGATTTTTTATAAAAATTAATATCATATTACATATTTAGAAGAATTATATAAATTTTATATTAAAGGATATTTTTGTCAAAAATATTTACTTTTATCCTATCTAGTATTATACAGTGCATTATCAAATACTGGATAATATTATTTTATACAATCCATTATCTTATACAATATTATACCAAACGCTGGAGAGTATTAAAATTTAATCAGGTCTTATACAATCAAGCATTATACTATCAGGGCATGTTTGGTGCATAGTATAGGATAAGGCCTGATAGTATAAGACCTGATTTTATAAGACCTGATTAAATTTTAATACTATCCAGCGTTTTGTATGATGTTGTATAAGATAATATCCTCTAATATTTTAAAAATTAATATATTAAAAAAATTTATTTTAATATATAAATATTGAAATGATATATTAGTTCTTGGGAATTGTACTTGTAAGCAATATTAATACATCAACCCCTTATCAGGCCTAATCCACCACTCCTATGTCGGATTAAGTTATACATCATTTTGATGTATAAAGGGGTCATACTGTATAAGCTTATACTATACGATGATCACACCAAACAACTGAAAATGTCATAATGTATAGTATAAGCTTATACTATCAGGCCTTATACATCACACCAAACAGACCCTCAGGTCTTATACTGTCAAACTTTATCCTATCATCAAACATGCTCTAAGATATTAAGTATTCTGAATTAAAGTTTAAACTTTAAAAAAGATAATTATTGGAATTGACTCTTAATTGGGACAGTATTCATGGAATTAGCCTAGGAGTAATATATGTAAAGATAATCTAGTCAAAGACTTACAAAAAATAAATAAAAAATGACTGACTTGGTTCAAACTATACTACTTTAGATAAGGTGATTATTGTAATTTGACAGTATTCAAGGGATTAGCCTGTCTCTTAACACATGTAACTGTAGTCAAAGAATTTTTTTAAAATTGTTGCTTTGGACCTAATTTGTCTCAGAAACTTGTCAACGTTGATGTCACCCTACCCTGCATTATGCGTCATGCTAAGATAATGTACTGAAAAAATAAAAAAAATAAAAAAAAATAAAGAAATGTCATCTCTATCTTGATCAGCACCAATAAATTATCAAGATATTGTAATTGGGATTTGAATTCTCTATGGTTTCTAATTGCAATGCAATTGAAGAATACCACGTTTTTAGAACTGAATGCAGGATAGAACATAATATACGTGGACCGAAAAACAATGGAAGAATTGTACAAAAAAAAAAAACAGCTAAATAATACCACAGCTAAATAAGAGTGTAGCAAGACTGAGGATGGATGGCGTATACAACTGTTGAGGAAACTAACATTAACATACTTATACATTTTTCCTTTTTTCTTTACCCGTGTAAAACGAACCTTACCTTTTTTCCTTTCTATTCATATACATATATAGATATATAAAAACATATAAAAAAACAAGATCAATAATATTGCAATTTAATAGAAATATCTAGAATAGGCAGATCCGACTAACTTGACTAGGCATCCCATAGTTGGATTGAGGGAGAGGATAATAAGAGCCTCGTCCATGAATACCACTGCCTGAATCAAAGTGCACATCGTCAAGATCGTAAAAAAGTATTAATTAACAAAAACATACAGCAAGGTAGAAAACTAACTGCGTATAGATAAAAACCTGTCAAACTTCCTTGGTTTTGCAAAGGAGATCCAGAAAAAGACTGAAAAGAACTCCCGCAGGATGATGTTGATGAGTTATTGTTAGATATAGATGCAAGATCCTGCTTCATCTGATCCAAATATTTCTGAGACTCATCTCGGTTCAGCTCTACGAACATAACCTTGAAATACAAATAAATGTTTAGTAGAGTCATGATTCACACTCACAGCAACAAAACTTGTAGAATAGTAGATTACTAAATACCTGATCAAAAAGCTCATCTGAGCGAGGCATATCCTTGCATTTAGGGAGAACATAATTAGCTGCCACAACCATAAAAAGAATAAAATAGGCCATTAAGTTAAGAGAAATGATGAACTTAAAACCAGTAGATGATAAGTAAAGACAAACAATAAAAAGCTAAAAATACCTATCATGTTATTTAAAGCATCAAGTGGCACTTCTTTCCCCATTTCTTTAAATCTTTTTTCAGACCGTCTCTTGAGCTCTTCTGGCTTCGGGAATACTACAACAACAATCTGGAATGGACCAAAAGTTACATTAATATCCATAGAAAATTTATCTTCCAAGCCCAACAATCAAATAGATAAATAGCTACCTTCTGATAGTCAGCAAATGGCTTCAGCTTAGGTTTACGTGCGCTTTTGTACACATTGGTCTGGTCAATTATATAATTGTGAGGAATATTAGCTGCTCTGGATAGCACTGTATTGAAGATTCCAGTTGCCCTATCCATCAAACGATCAAATCTTTCACCATAGTTGTTTTTCCGCAACAGTCCAGGTACCTGCACAACATTGTGTTAAGCAAATATTACAGATAGAAAAATAATAACCACAACAAGGCCAGCAAATCACCAACCTTCATCTGATCAAGAATTGAGTTTGTCCCAAGCAAAACATAATGCTTCTCTGGGTGATCTTTTACCCATTTTTCTGCCCATGTAGTCTTGCCTGATGCAGGTAGCCTCACCATCATTATCACTTCACAATCCCTTGGATCAGAAAAAGTAGGTCCCATAACCATGTTTCTATTGTCAATGGATGAGGCCCAAGGTTTGAACCCTTCTATAGGGACAAGTCCATCTTCAGCACTGAACTGCATCTGGACCACAACATTCTTTAACAGCACATGTGGAAAAAGTGCTGATTCCCATTGCAAACCCCGTAAAGGAGAATCTGACACTCCAAGACCTAAAGGAGCAGCATCAAATTGCATTGCAGTACCCAACCATTTACCATTCTTGGAGAAACCAAGAAGCCAATGGTTTGTTTTCAAGATCAACACAACAAACTATTGTATCGCCAATACCAAACATGTCACCAAAATTTGAAAATTTTCCTGCATTTGAAAACTTGCCAGTGCCACCATATCCAAAGCTGTGTTTGGACTCCCCCAGGCTTCCAACCATATCATCCCCTCTAGAAATACCAAGACGACAAACATGTTGCAGCTTAGGGGTAGTGTCCTCCATATCAACTGGCTGTTCAGAAACAACTTTGCAACCAAAACAATACCTACCTCTAGTTATTCCCACAGTAGCTCTGGCACCAGACCAACAATAAGCAAACCCTTGGTCATGAAGGCCATATCCAACAAGTCCATTGCCTTCAATATTGAAATCTAGCAGCAATAAATCAATTATTAACACATATATCACAAGCCAATGGTAGATACACAAACAGGATAAAAAAAGAAAACAATAAAATATTTGACTATTTTACATATAATTAACACATAAAGCTACTTTCTAAAAAGAGTCAGATAGATCAATAACTATCTATTCCTGTAACTATTTTACATATTTAGCATGCTGTGCTTTGAAGAAAAATTCATTTTTATATCTTAGTTTTATGGACAAGGTAAACAAAAGTGGATGAACAAAGGTAATGATGGAAAATTGAATACCCAAATCAGAGTCGGCAGGATTTAGAAGAACCCTCGTAGAAGAAACGGATGCATCACATTCAGAATCAGATTCCTTCACCTTCTTCTGCACTACCTCGTGTTCTGGGAGTTGCCGTTTTGTGGAAGCCATTGTCGCTTCGCAAGGACATAAAAAAATTGCAGTAACATGTGCAAAAACAAAATCTCACCTGAGCCAGATGCGTTTTATAATCACTCGTTAAGATAGGACAAGGTACTTTTGGGCTTCTTCGATCCAAAGCCCACATGTTATTTGGGTTCTGCATTCTTGCTCCTTTTTATTTATTTATTTATATGGGAAAAACTATTCTCATGGTACATGAGATAAGTTTTCTCTCACACATTCTTCGATAATTGTGCCATATTTTTTTAATATTTTTATTTTTTCATGTGGTGGAACCCACAAATTTGTCTCTATGACATAAGATAACTTATCTCCTTTAACATGAGATTAATAAAACCCTTATTAATATCACACAAACAAACACAGAAGAAAATATCAATAGTTTAAACTTTGTGTGAATTTTTAAGGGGATGTTTGGTAAAGGAGATATTTTTTTTAAGTAGATAAATGTAATAACCAGGAATATGATAAGATAGATAGGAAAGTGAGTTTGGTAAGAAAGTTAAAAAAAAATTGTTTGGTTGGCCAAAATTTTACCAGGAAAATTGGATTAAATAAGTCATATTTTTGGTTCACCTTTTTCATCTTCCTAATTTTCTTAAAATACCACCTCACAAATGGTAAACCTCAACAGTGCAACCTCTCCCATTTTGCATGCAATTCACAAAGGATGGGAAAAACATATTGGTGGGTAAATTTTTGTATGTCTGCTACCAAACGTTGGCAACATGGAATGCCAATGTCAGATGGATGGGGATCCAAAAATAAAACCTCAACCAAATACAACCTAAGGATCTCCACCAAAGGAAAATGAATCCATCATAACAAGATATGACGTGAAAAAGGTAAACATAATAATTTTTTGATATGGTTGATATTTCGTATTTAGATAAGAATTTTTGTTGGCGGGATCAAGAGAAAGTTAATTGAGGTCATCCCATTTATATTTTCTTATAAAACAAATTACGTATAATAAGTGGTTGTGAAGTGAATATAATACAAATAAGTTGGACATAAATTATATTGGGTGAACCAGATTAAATTACTGTGTTGTGTCAATTTTTTTTCTCCCATTCTTTTTTTTTCTCAATTTATGTGTCGAATTCCAACAATCAAAATCCAAGGACTATTTATCAGCGATTGTGAACACATAAGGGAAATAACAAGATTGTGGATACAATTTTGGTAAAAAATGATACTCTCCATGGAAAGAGGGATTGTCGGAGGAAATCCACAAAAAGAGGAAACAAATTTGAAAATGGAAAAGACAGAAAACAAAAACAACCTGTTGGAGATGATTTGCCCCAGATTTGTGGGATTTTCTATTTTTTTTTTGCAGAGAACGCTCTTTTTCTGCCAAAGGAGAAGCCAAGTTAGGGCAGTCAGCGTTTTAATCAAGCATGATTCAGAGGAATTTTTATATTTTTTTATTATTCATATAATTGATGGAGTTACAATCAAAATTAAATTAAAAATTATAAAATAATATTAGATGATAGTCATTACTTTAAATTTAATTTAACAGTAATAAAATAGTTGTAAGATATTATAAAAATTAAATTACAAAAATATAACTATCTCAATTTAAATATAAGGAATTTAATTGATGGAGCAACGCACCCTGAGATTCAGGGGACACAGGCTGCTTGATTTAATTGTCTTCAGATCTGACCATATTAAGATTGCTGAAGCTTTGGAATTTAAAATAAATAATATATATATATATATATATTTACTGATTTATTATCCGTGCGATGCACGAAGAAAAAAATCAATTTATTTATCTCATGAAAATTAACAAATATTTTAAATAAATCTTATAAATAAAATTTTCTAAGAGAGCTTGAGAAAAAAAGAAGAAAAATAGACAGAGAACAAAAAAAAATATATGCAGAGAGAATAAATCTTTGGTGTATTAAATGTACCCAACTGGGTACATCTTTTCTCCAAAAAAGAATTTTTTTTCAAATTGACGAGAAAACTAAATTTTAAAAGTGGTCAATTTTTTTAATAAATATGAAAAAAAATGTACCGAATTTGGTACAATTGATGCACCAAAGATTTGTCCGTGCTCAGAAACCAATTACCAAACAAAAAAATGCAGTAAAACATCAGCAAAGTTTCCAAAGAATAGAGTAATTTTCGGCAAGGGTTTAGGATGGAGGAAAAAAAAACTAAATAATTGGATAATCAATCCCTTCATTAGCGCCCCATCACTTTCCAATCATATTCGGTAATTTCCTCTCTTTTTTCAATCAGTTCAATTGATTGGTTTTCCTAATTTTAGCCAATCAATCTAAATAATTAATTTTCTTAAAGGCTTGTTTGGTGTGATGTATAAGGCCTGATAGTATAAGTTTATACTATACGTTATGACATTTTTAGTTGTTTGGTGTGACCATCGTATAGTATAAGCTTATACAACATGATTCTTTTATACATCAAAATGATGTATAACTTAATCAAGCCTAGGAGGGTAGGATTAGACCGGATTGATGTATTAACCAATGCAATTCTCAAGAATTAATATATTATTTTAATATTAATATATTCAAATAAAAAATAAATTTGCAATATATAAATTTTCAAAATGTTGGAGATTTTTAATTTTATAAAAATTAATATATTTTTTGGATACACTGATCAACATATTTCTATAAAAATTAATATCATATGATATATTTAGGAGAATATATAAATTCATTATTTAAAAGTATTTTTATCAAAAATATTTATTTTTATCGTATCTAGTATTATATAGTGCATTACCAAACATTAGATGATATTATCTTATACAATATATTATTTTATACAATATCATGTCAAACGTTTGATAGTATTAAGATTTAATTAGATCTTAGATAATCAGGTCTTACAGACCTTATCATATACTGTGTACCAAACATGCCTTAATTTGAGTCAATTAATTTAATTAATTGATTTCCTTAATTTTATCTATTGTTATCAAATCTAATTTCATGTCTATATTTAAATTCAAATTTAAAATTTGAATTCAAATTAATTTTATTAATTTAAAATTTAAATTAATTACATTGCATTATGGAGCAAGTCCCACTTGGCCCATGAGGCATATAATTTAAATTTTTGTAAACTTGTTTAAGGTGGAAATGAGGTTTTTGGTTGAAATTTTGCATGTTAACTTAAACAATTTTATTACAATTAAATTGATATAGTACTTTATAAAAAAATTAATTTTAATTCGACTAAAATAAATTAAACTCAACTAACAATATCAAACATTTATAAAAATAATCTTCAACTTAACTTTTGCCAATATTATTAATAGGTCAACATTAAATACAATTTTAAATTTTAAATAATCCTCATAATTACGTTTTAACCTTATAACGTGATTAAAAATACATAAATGAAGAATGTTTCCAATTAGTAATCACTTAAATTTTTTTTGATCTGAACGAAAATGTCGGTTTCCTAAAATATTTAAGGAGTGTTTCTGATTGAAAATCTTAATTTTTGGTAAATTGAGAATATTTTAAAATATTCACTTTATTTTACTTACCCAAAAAATTCATTGCTTCTTTACCAAATGTATTACGGAATTTTCGGAATTTTAAAATATTTCAGAATTTTCAATCTTGGTTGTCAAGGAAGGGAGGAGAAATAAAGGGTGTGGGAGGAAGTGAGGAGAAAGGAAGGAAAAAAAATAATTTATTTTATTCCGCAAATATCTATACTTGGATGAGATTGTAATTGAACAGTATTAAAAGGGATAGATAAAGGTAGGCAAAATAACCTATCTCATTATATATATATATATATATATATATATATATATATATATATATATATATATATATATATATATATATATATATATATCTTTTGGTATACATCAATATAAACTAAAACATTCAAATATAAATATATAGAAATTCTGTTAATCTCATTTACAATTAGGGGATAAAAACTTTGATGTAAAGCAATTAATATTCTTTTAAATGAAAGTTTCCCAAAGCATTTGAGAAATGTATTTGATTGAAAATATTTTAAAAATATTCTCTTTATTCTGCTTTCCAAGAATATATTCCCTTCCTTCTTTACCATATATATAATATATTACAAAATATTAGCAAAATACAAAGAGAAATGATTATTCATGGTATACTGATCGTCGTATCAATATAAGGAGAAAGAATCAAACATAAATATAAAAAGATTTTGTTAATCCTATCTACTATTAAGTGATAAAAACTATGGATGAAAAAATAAATAAAAAAATTAGGTGATAAAAACTTTGATGTAAAGTAATTAATATATGTAACCGACATTATTCGTATCAGAGAATACATCAAGTTAAATAAAATATCAAAATGAAAATAATTAAATAGTTTTAAAGAAAAGGGCGTAAGGTGTGGAACAGAGTATGCATTGAACATGAAAAAAAAAAAAAGAGAGAAATTGAGATGGCATTGAGAAATCGGAGTATCCTTTGGTGCAACGGGAGTGGTGTAAAATAATCATAAAGATAGAAGTAGTGTAAATGTGCTACTTTTTCTCATATTTGATAAATAATGTACCGAAGGATCAATATATCCGTAGTATCAAAAATATTTTCAAAAAATCGACAATTTGAGGAGGGTTTGACCTAAAAACTAACATGCCAAAGCTATTGGAATACAACCGCGGCAGAAACTATAAAATTGGAGAATAACAGTAACCTTATTAAGATTTGGGTATTAAATAATGAAATTATTGACTATAATAATTTCTAGAACGACCAATTAAACCTATCATAAGTTTTCTCCTGATCAATTTTAATAGCCATGAAACATTTTCTTTCCTTCATGCGCCTTATGGAGTGAACCATTTCTGGAGCAATTATTATGTTATTCTGGATGTTTTTTCTTGGCATAAAACTCACTTCAAATAGGGAGATTAATTTGTCCATTATAGGCTTTAGTCTATTTTATTTTGTTCAATCCTTTGTAGATCACATTGCACAAAGCTATAGGTCG